CCTGACCTGACCGGGACTGACCTCTCTCACGTAGTACAAGATCTGTCTCTTATACACATCTAGATGTGTATAAGAGACAGTTCTTAGGCTGGCTCTTTCTTCCTCTCTCTGGCGCCAGCCTCCTCTGCTCTCTACCTTGCTCAACATCGCTCTGGCCGCTAACGTGTGCAAGGCAGAACGAATGAGCCGCTGGGGTAGGCAACACTTTTGTAGAATTGACACGCCTTGGCCTGCCTCAGTTTTCCTCTCCGACGGTAGAGATTTCCCCATCCGCAAGGCCCAGATTTGCTGTTGGCCAACATGTCCCTGGACCCAGTAGGCCCTGGAACTTCCGACTGCAGTTCAGACAGCCTTCGGTTTTGCGTCAGATCTGCGGCTGTGGTTGACTCCTGAGAAATCTCTGACTGTTGACCGACTCTTCTGAGTTTGGTTCCGCCTCCTGGTTCTGCCGTCAACTACCTGACGTGGGTACTGGCAGAGCATCATTTGGCCCTGGACCGGGTATGTGTTGACCCTATAGGGCTTTCTCAGACCCCTCGAAGACAAGTGGTGCAGCTTTTGACCCCTGAATCTAGACTTGGACCAAAAGTTACGACCCTGTCCTATGTCTGTGCGGATTTTGAACTCAGTTCTTCGCACTCTCTTCGTCCGTATTTCCTGTTCCATCGCAGAAATTTTAATCTTCATTAGAAATGACTTTCCCTTTTCTCTTAGTCCTTGTTCATAGCCCGCAACTATATCGGCCGCAGTCGGCGAAAGCTCTTTCTTGCTGAAGCATATGGCGTCAGAATCGTTCAGATTCAGGCTGCAATTTAAACGTTACCTTGTACGCTTCTAAGGTCTTCCTCTTTCACCTGTAGAGAAAAGCTGATGCTTGAGACTCTTCTCAACTTCGTACCCTCCATCCATTGATGGTGGAAACATATATAGATGACTAGGGAGATCTTGACTTCTGAGATGTGGGAGTATATCAATGAGATAGTTGTCCATCCCGATATCCAATCACCTTGAGAATGTCCCATGGCCCGAAATAGAAAGCAGCATCCCGTGAAGTTTCACAAAATTTACAAGCGTACTATCTTCCTTCACCCCTCACCATAGCTTAGGTTGAGGTTCTTCAACCGCTGTGTCCGTAGCCGAGGCCTACACCCTACTACGACTACTACTCCATAGCCATGGAGGTCTTCACCCTCACTCTCCAGCTCCATCACTCAAGTAGAGCTCTGCCTAGCTCACCCTCTGGACGGAGCAGCAGCATGACTGCCGGGCAATGTGTTGCCTCACTCATTGCTGCCGAATGATATACTCTTTTCCAACTTGGCATCCAGCCTCATCCCTCATCTGTGGTACTACTGCCTCTTCTAGTGTGCTAGGCCTACTGGAACTTCCTGCCTTTTGGCAGCAACATCATTGCACCCTGCTGTTATGATTCTGGTTGTCTGTTGTCTGAAGACCAACACTCACTCACATGAACTCCCCGGTATGCCCATACATACACAGAAGGAAGGGGAAAGGATAGGAGTATCACACCGCACAGGGAGAGATGAACACAGCGGAAGACTTGACCATGCGATATGACAGGGTACACTGAAAGTGCAATTCATTCCACTCAATCCTCACAACCAGTCGTAAAGGAAATCCGAGTAGATCACATCCAAAAAACAATGAAACGATGATAGTCCAAACCCAGTATCACACTGTTTATTAAACTCAGAGTCTCGAATTGTCAGAATGACCTCAGAACTATGATGCGCTGCTCAGAGATGAGGAGCGCTTCACTCCCCAACCCTGATGAACCGCTATCACTACCCCTGAGTCCCTGAAACATCAAGCGCCACACAGATACAGCCTCCAAAGGGAAGCACCACCCTGAAACAGGCCTGTGAGGCCAAGCGCCACTCAAAGGATGAAGAAGAAGACACATGCCACAGTATCTGATGATGACGAAGTGTCGGAAGACTTTCCGGGCGGAAGTCTGCAGCAGCGCCACCAATCCTGACAAGATGACCTCTGAGGAAGAAGCTGCAGCTATGGCTGCAGCGCCACAACCCTGTGACCCCACTCCAGAGGAGGGTCCAGCAGGGCACCAACTTCTCTTGCCTCCAGCAGACCTCGATAACCTAGACCTCCCACGTGCTGACAGAGTACAGCGCAGGTCCCAGTTATGGCCGGCGCTCCGAAGGTCTGGCTATGTCTGTCTCCCACAACGCTGAGCCGTCACCACTTCCGGTTCACTTGTAGCGCAGCAGCAATGTACTCGGTACCAACTGCCAAAAGCCCTGAACCGACGTGCCCATTCTATCTATAGACTAAACTAGCCTAGACTCGACCTAGACCGGACTGACTGACTGACCGGTACCGATTCAGTTTCAGCCTCTCGGCCTCTACCTTACCCGGCTATAGGCTACAGGCCCGTCTAACAGTATAGGCCTTTAGGGCCTGTCTGTCCTAGGGGTAGCCCGAGCCTGCTATTCGCAGTTAGGGTAGCAGTAGGAAATTCAGTTAGCGTTGGGCCTATATTTTCCCCAATTTGCAGATATGTTCCTCACGAATTTCCCCTACATGTAGGTCTCTCGGTTAGCCCTCAGCCAAACAAAACTACGAATCTACCCTACCTATGGTACAGCCCCGACAGAGAGAGGCTACAGACGACCAAAAACCAGCAAGTCATTGCAGACTTACCCTCCGCCGGAGCGAGGACCTCCGAGCTAGGGGCGTAGGCGTGCAGAGCGTCGAAGGGATTCTCCCTTCTGTGCTGCCTCATATCTGAGGATAACAGACCTGGCAGTTTTCAGAAGTTCCTTGTGAGTAAACCAGCGATCTTCAGTATGCGGCTGGTATAAGAACTTCACAAGGTACTCCTTATCTGGACCTGTACCTGACTCATCCTCCACAGATTCCACCTCCTTGTTAGGCGTCTAGGGCCACAAGGGTAAGGCTTTCCTCTTTTCCTACAAATAATTTGTACTTTGGAACTCATGCTTGCCGGTGATAAGCAACCGGACTGATGCCCCCCAGAATAGAAGGGGCTGAGTTGTTTTGGGAAAAAAAAAGGAAAAAAAAAGGAAAGAAAAGAAAAGAAAAGAAAAAAAACGAAAACTGCACGGGTCATTACCATACTTGCAACCGCACCGTGCGTTGTACTGTGCGGTGCACCGCACGGCACCTGCTCGTGCGACGTACCAGCGGCAGCTTTTTTTTTTTTGTTTTTTTTTTGCTGTTTTTGACAATTTTGTTGATACAGAAGAGTGCAACACCTAAGGAACAGATCTTATCAAGTACAGTCATACTGTCATACATATTTTTCTTTCCTTTCAATTGGGCATGAGAAATTCTAAAATAGCCTCAAGTAGGTGCCTGCCACTGCCTGGGACATTGGTCTTGACCTTTATGTAGCGGCATTACTCTCCCCCTAGTTTCCCCCCCCCCCCCCCATCCCACAACAAATCTTCAAAGGGGACGCAGATTGCCATTGGCCCAGCCATGCGACCCCTTTTTTTCTGAGTGAATATTTTCCCTGTGTGCCTGCCGCACATGCCGTGCGCTGCACAGTGCGGGTTCGCTTGTGTGCCAAACTTGCAGAATTTTCCGCACGGCGTGCGCCTGCATGTATGTTCATTACACAACAAACAAATAGCTGTGTTAAACAGTCGAACCCTTTTATTTATCTATTTAGGGGATAGCCCCTAATTATATCGTGTTAATCTGATTTCAGCAGGATTTGAGCTCGCACTCTGTTGACTAACTGTTATGTGAGGGAAGCGGTGGGGCTTATTTCGTACTATCCAGTCTAAGCACACACATGGCCTAATTCTGTGCCCTGCTTAGGTGGAGTATGGTCTGCTTCTTTCATGAAGGAATGTCTGCGGTTCTTGGGGATGAGAATGTATCTCAGGTGTTTTGGCCACGATGTCTACGTCAGGTGGCTCAGAAAGTGTCGGCTGTGGGTGTCATTCCCACAGGCTGCTCTTTTGGAGCACATGGAAGAAATGGGGGCTTCTAAGCAGTAGCACTCCTGGTGTCGCGTGGAGATCTCGTGGAGTTTGGGATTATGGCCTCTATACTCTCCAGGGGTTAGACAGCAAAGTGATCAAAGGGAAAAAGGGTGGTTGCATAGCCATGGAGTGATAGAGATGATGGTGATGTGAGGGGGTCGTTTGGGATGAATAGCAGTGTCAGTGCTGTTGTACTTGTGCAATTAATATTGTGCCTCTGTGGCCCGGCTCAGAGGGCTCTCCAAGTTTTTTCAGACCATTGGCGGATGTGGTCAGTGTTTTCTTGTTGGTGGAGCCTACTGTGTCGGGTATGTTGCCTTTTTCCCTCCTTCCTTTTATATATTATAATATATATTGTCACATAACTATAAACTAAAAGAGTGCACTTTGCGAAACAAACAGTAAAAATATAACAAGACAAACACGAGGGGCACAATGAAACCATTCATTTTCCTCATTCTTCTTTTAACTCCCCTTTCATGGTGCCTCTCACGTACGCCTCGCCACGTTGATGAAGTCGAGCACGAGCTGCCCGCATCCCCGTGTGCCATAACGGCCCACTTGTCCGCTGTGAGAAAGAGGCAGAGTAAAGGTGGAGGGGATAAACACAGGGAAGAGAGATGGAGCAAAGACAGACAAATAACGACAAAGGGAATGTGCAAGTGTGCCACTTGGACGGCAGACGGGTGTGTGGGCACTTGGCGCCTAACCCCACAAACGTGGACAACCTTGCATCTAGTATCTATACATTTTTTTCATTTGCGGGGGAAGAGAGAGAGAGAGAGAGAGAGAGAGAGAGAGAGAGAGAGAGAGAGAGAGAGAGAGAGAGAGAGAGAGAGAGAGAGAGAGAGAGAGA